AAAACTTGGCCGAAATTTGGTCATGCAGCAGGACATTGATCCCATGCACACCAAGAAATCTATAACAGAATGTCGGAAAAAGAAAATAATCAAGGTGCTGCAATGACCCAGTCAAAGTTCAAACTTCAACCTGATTGAAATGCGGTGGCAGGACTTTAAAAAGGCAGTGCAGAAACAAATGCCAGTAAACCTCAATAAAGTGAAGCAACTTTGTAAAGAACGTGGGCCAAAATGTATCCACAACCATGTGAAAGATTGATAATGTCATACCATAGGCGTGCGCAGCCTATTGCATTAGGGTGTGCACCCTAAAGCACAAACACACGCTGCATGTATATTGTTATGGTACCTTCAGAAAATAATTGTACAAAGTTTAGTGAATGCTCCCCGTTCGCAATAATGTGGTCTGGTAGCGTATGCAGTATAGCCATGTGAACCGCCAGCCAGGGAACACTCCAAACTCCCGAACGGTACCCGTACGGCTCCTTCCCTTCATGAGCTCCAAATACACGAACTGCCAATATTAGCCGAACGCCAATATCTTCCAAGCGGCAAATAATTCCAGATAGCAGTCTCTAGTCGCCGGTAATAAAATCCCCCCAATAACGAGACCAAGCTCCGCTTTGAGGGTAAAACACGAACTGAGTTTACTGTGGGCTACCTGCCCGTATTTATGCGGGTCTCCCACTTGGTGGACACTCCCCTAGGGGACCAAATGGGAGACTGGAATAACAGAAGGACATGGGGACATTTCAGACATACAACCCCACAATATTCCCAGCATGCATCACAGTTTCCTCCCCTCCACACTTCTGTCGATTGAGAAGGGAGGTCGACGGCTTCAGCGGTGTTTGGTTGAAAAAGTGTCCGTTTTTAGTTCCATGAAATAACCGTCGAACACCGCTGGTCTTTCGCATGGTTAAAATGGCCGCCGCCTCGTGGTCGACATACGAACGACGACCACCCTGTATTCGGTTTTAATTGAGAAGTGTCTGTGGTTAACCGCAACGTTCTAATTGGGATCAATAGGTTAACCAGCAGCACACTTCTCTTCTGGGTGGCCGTCCGTTCGGTAGTTCATGTGTGTGTGGGTGCTGTATGTGTGTGTGCGCTTTGTGTATGTGTGTGCTGTATGTGTGTGCTGTATGTGTGTGCTGTGTGTGGGTGTTGTGTGTGTGTGTACTGTGTGTCTGTGTGTATGTGTGTGCTGTATGTGTGTAGGTGCTGTGTGGGTGCTGTGGGTGTGTGTGCTGTATGTGTGTGTGTGCTGTATGTGTGTGAGTGATTGTGAGGGTGGAGGTGGGGGTACATTACTTAATATCCCCCCTCCATTCTTAACTTATGTAGGGAGGGGGGATCGTGCTGCTGCTTTCCCTGGTGGTCCAGTGGAGAGTGACCTCTAGCCCCTGTGGGGCTAGAGTTCACTCTCACGAGATCTGAGTGTTGCCGCGGCAATGCTCAGAACTGGCGAGAGGAACCCAAGGGAGCTGCCCGGGTCCTCTCCTGCCTCCCTCCATGCTGCTGTGGGGAGGGAGGCATAGAGTAGAGCCGGCGCTCGGATAGCGCCTGCTCTGCATGAGGTGACAGGGGAGGTGACAGGGATAAGAAGTGGACATTTTTGACACAGAGCACTGTGCAGCTTGTCACTAATAATGTTAATAACTCCTACTATCATTCTATTTAAAGTGATCAGTCACTTTACAGCTGAGCCCTGAGTCACGGTGTGACTCTAATCTTGTGAGTTTCACTATTTTATTCCTACTTTTCCAGCATTTATTTGTTCAGACATTCTACGCTATTTGTATTCATTCTGTTTTACAGACTATTCAGGACATTATACAGCTCCACCTATTACTTTGTATGCATTGTTTCGTTTTTATAGTGGTGTAAGGGGTACCACTTTATAGGTGTTTTTTTGAGCTACTTCATTTTCTCACACTGTGTACATTCTTGTTTTATAGAGAGGAAAATCAGTCCAGCTGCATCATTCATTACAATACGGCTTTTTCGGGAGACCAGTCAGGAGAGGGTTACAGTAATCCATGCGGGAAATTACTAGAGCATGGACAAGCTCCTTGGTAGCATCATGTGTAAGAAAGGGGCGGATGCGGGATATGTTTTTAAGTTGGAACCTACAGGATTTGGCAACAAACTGGATGTGAGGCTCAAAGGTGAGGCCAGAGTCAAGTATGATGCCAAGACAGCGCGCTTGGAAGGATGGACTTATGTGGATATCACTGACTTGAAGGGAGAGCGAGAGAGGAGGATCAGAATTAGGAGGAGGAAAGACAAGGAGTTCAGTTTTAGAGAGAATGAGTTTTAGAAAGCGGGAGGACATCCAGTCCGAGATGGAAGAAAGGCAAGCAGTGACATGTTGCAGGACGGCAGGGGAGAGATCCTGGGAGGAGAGGTATATCCGAGTGTCATCAGCATACAGGTGGTAGTGGAATCCAAAAGAGGCAATACGTTTTCCAAGAGAGGCAGTATAAAGAGAAAATAGAAGGGTACCAAGGACAGAGCCTTGGGGAACTGCAACCGAGACAGGACGAGGGGAGGAGGTACCCTTGGAAAAGGAGACACTGAATGATCGTTGGGAGAGATAGGAGGAAAACCAAGAGAGGACAGAGTCACAGAGACCGAGCGATTGAAGAGTTTGAAGGAGGAGAACATGATCAACAGTGTCAAAGGCAGCAGAGAGGTCAACGAGAATTAATATGGAGAAGTGACCTTTTGGATTTAGTTGTGATTAGGTCATTGGTAATTTTGATAATAGCAGTCTCAGTAGAGTGGAGAGGGCGGAAGCCAGACTGAAGAGGGTCAAGGAGAGAGTTGGAATTGAGGAAGCGAGATACATGGGTAAAGACAAGTTTTTCCAAAAGCTTTGATGAGAAAGGGAGCAGGGATATGGGACGATAGTTAGAGAAGGAGGATGGGTCAGCGATCATCCAGAAATTCTACTTCTGCTTATGGAAAGTCCTGCAGGGATGTGTGCTGTGAGTCCTGGGTGTAGCTGTTTCAATATTGTTAGGGGCCCAGGTTCTGCTTATGGCAAGTCCTGCAGGGATGTGTGCTGTGAGTCCTGGGTGTAGCTGTTTCAATATTATAAGGGGCCCAGGCTTTGCTTATGGCAAGTCCTGCAGGGATGTGTGCTGTGAGTCCTGGGTGTAGCTGTGTATTTTACTCAGCTCCACCTGTTGTATGGGTATCTCTGTAGACATCTTAGCTCTGTGTATTGTATAGTTATATTTGTATTGTGCTCAGCTCTGTGCATTATATCTATTTTTCCTCAGCTCTGATTGTGGCATGGTTATCTTTGTATTGGACTCAGCTCTGTGTAGCTACAAGAGAGAATTGATTATTGACTTTTGTAATTTAAAAAGAAATGCCAGCACTCCTAACATGTGAGTATGTGAGTAAAATCAGAACCCCCCCAAACCCCATAAAATTCAGCTATCTTCAAAAGTAAAAAGTAAAACAATTAAACAATATCAACAGTTAAATATTAAAACAAAAATAAAGTCTAATATGAAAAACTAAAATTGGAGTGTTATAAGGAATTGTTTTTGAAAAAAACTGAATAAACAAAGAAAAATGACATTTTGACAGGGCGGAGCCTGACTATTGATCAGCATGGACTCCATTCTCTTGAGCTCCTGCAGGTTTGCGAAAAATCCGCTGGAAATCAGTGTCTCCGTGTGCCATCTGGGAGTGAGACTACTCACCTTGTCTCCATGACAGTACTGGATGCCAGTCCATGCCTTTTTTTTGTTTTCTCCAATGGGCAGGAAAGCTCACCAAAAGCCTGGGGCCTACCTCACTGCTCGACTACTGGGGCCTACACACTTGTTCTGACACCTACTCTAGAGGTTCTGAACCCATCCAAGCTAACTGACGAGGGCCAGACAGACAGCATGGCCACTATGGGATTCAGATCCAAGAGAGCACAAGCAGGCGTGAATAGAGATACCCGTGATATCAGGGCCTTGTTTCAACATCCAAAGGCTCAGAAAATAGTGACCACCCTGGAACAAGATGCTTGTTCTACATGATCTGAACTGACCCTGGAGGATAACACTGAGACTTACCTATATGTCTGAGGTCGAACCATTACTGTAAGCACTAGGACTCTCCCTGCAACCCTCAACTGAGAGAGAGACTGGGGGCAGCTACGTGAAACACTCTAAAGCATTATGGCATCAGCTATGCTCTAATGTCATATTATGTTCTCATTTCTGTTTTCTCTATTTTCAGTTTTTAATAATCTCAAACTCATATTAGGCACACTGTTTTCCTGTCAGCTACTTAATGACCCTTCATGGGTTTTTTCCCACCCCAGCGAGTACACTTTGTACTCTGTGTGAGAGCTATGTGCTCTCATATACTTCACCCATGGCCCCCGTTGGTTAGGGGTTGATTCTCACATTAAGTATGACCCATGCAGATGTCGGGCATATATTTAAATCATTTGGCGAGTGAATCAGTTTACCCCTCATGGGCACCGATCCCGCATAATACAAATAGTAATTGTTCCCATGGTAAAAGCTTGCTCTAACACACTGCACATCATAATCTACTGGTTGCCCAATATACTGGCTTCCACTCCATGTTTTATTATTTGTAATCTCTTCCTAATTTTTCATTATGAGGAGAGAGACTGCCCTAAGTTTGGTCTACTGTGTCATCCCCTTGATATTACATGATATTGCTCTGTTTTCTTAGTGTTGGGTGGCACACTTTACAGCTCCTTCGTTATCTCCCCGCTCACTCTCTCTCTCCCATAGGCTTCTCTCTTATTATTTCATAAACAAAAAAAAGGTTTATGTTGGTCATGTATACACAACAGTATTCCATAAATGTCATCTACCATTGTTATGTCATCTGATTTCTTGCTTATATGTCACTTTATGACCGCAATAATAAAAAGAGATTGACCAAAACAAGTGCATTTTGACCTGAAAATAATTATTTCTACAAAATTATTATAATTAAGTGAAACATCCTTATATTCTAATAAAAGCAATCATATATATGAAATAAATGTTATCATACCACATTCTGCCACATTCATCTGTAAAACCAGAATGTGCAGCAAGCATTTTACCCTTGTAAGAGCAACTGCATTCAGGAAGACTAACACATTTCATGGTATTTTCATCCAAGTATGGGGTATCAGCAGGACATTTTGGGTAGCAACCTAAATTTAAAAGTAAAATAAATATGTCTTTAGTACATATTAATAAAGGGCAGAAGATGTTTTGATTAAAAAAATATATATATCCTCTTGATATTACATGATATTGGTCTGTTTGCCGAGTGTTGTTACTGAATGATAATCACAAGAAAAAAAATGCAAGCTTTCTATACTTTCCATAGATGTTTTTTTTAACATTTGCATTATAAGAAAAGACAATGTTTTCATATGCCTCCCTGTGTGAATACATTGAAATTAATTATTATTATTATTTTTTTAAATGTGATATTTGTAAATTATTAGAAATCATATTTCTTACAGCTATACTTAATATCAAATTGTATTCTGACATTTTTACCTTCTAATAGGCTTGAGAATTTCTGTCCAACTTCTAGATTATTGCATGTTTTTATCTTTGTAGATCCACAAGGTTTATAGTTCCAAATGTATTCTCCAGGTGCATTGTAATAATCACAGTAAATGGCTAAAATAAGCAATATTCAAAGTATTAGCATATCATTACATAATGGCTGCAGCAATCATTTTATGATACGAACACATTTCAATTGCAACACATTTTAAAGTTATCCATTACACTGGTGTTAACCAAAATAAATAAGCCCAACTTGTTCTGCATAATGTCCAGGGAAGATTGACCTTTTTTAACTAAATCTGATATATGATTTTCAAGGCATTTAATGAACTGTCCATAATTGTATCCTGACAATGTATTACAGACAATATTCATAGGAATATTCACAGTTTGTGTATACATTCTGACAATGGTGATGCCACTACACAGTAAGAACAAAGTGTAAACAGTATATCTATAAAGTATGTATAATTCTTCAAAGCAGATTAGTAAGATAATTGATATCATTAAACCAAACAAGAAATTAAGTACTTACGACAAAGATCTGGAGTACGCCAATCAATACATACTGCAGCAGCATTACAAACTTCAGCATACAGAGCAATAGATGTGCAAAACCCAAGATATTTTCCTTCCATGTCACACACACAGGCTTCTCGGATGCATGCTTCATAGTATGGTGTTGGATCAACCTAAAATTCAATACATTTAGGAAATAAAATGTAAAAACATAAAACTATTTTTCATTTTAATTAGGGATAAAAATGTCGCCTCACTGATGACATCTACACAGGCTTAAGCACAGTCTGAATAGTTTCTAATTTTCTTAAGAGAAAAAATATATATTTATATTAAAATATTGATAACAGGCTTTTACTATGCAATAGTACAAGAGAGAATATTTTTCCTCATTACTGTTCTTGAAGAAGAATTGATCCTATTAAAAAATTAAATACAATTTATTGATATATACCAAGTAGCATCTTTACACGTTATGCATGAGGACTTTCAGCATCACCGGAATCCCCATGGGAAAGCATTGAATAATGCTTTCCTCTGAGGAAATCGTAAGGTGAGCATGGCCATTGCCGCACATGTGCATTAGGTCTCCCCAGCCAGCTGATGTCGGCGGGGGAGGAACGAGGGCTGAGCCTGACCCAGCGCCGAGTGTGAAGTGATGACCAACGGGGTATAATATTTGTTTTCCTTGATTGAGTGTCTGTGTAGGCTCATTCTGAGATGCAGCTTAAGGCGAGTTTCTCCAATGTAACAACCTTTGTCACACACTGTACTATGTTTCATGTACAACACATTTGTAGATGTGCATGAATATGATCCCTTAATGTTGAATGATTAGTAATTGTGCTGTGTTATTGCCACATATATGTTGACGCAGTTTGCAGAGTGATTTATTGCATAGTACAGTGCCATTCTGTGTGAGCTCCTGTTCTGTGGTCAGTTTGCTGCCCACTAATCTATGTTTCAGGTTATTTGAATACTAGTACGGGGGCTTAGGAAATATTTCTGTGAATGTGAGGTCTTCTGAAATTAACGGCTGTAGCTCTTTAATAATTTACACACTCCTTCTAGAGTTGGGTTTATGTAACTACCAGAGGGATTTTAGTTTTGTTTTCCTTTTCTTTGTATTGTAGACAGTATAGCCTTTTCCATTGTGTTTTTCGTGCAGATTTTTTTTTTTTTAGATATTGTATTTTCATTGTATCCCTTTTCCCTAAATGACTCTGACAGTGTACTCAGGTGTTGATCTCTGTCTCCTGTGTCAGAGCAAATTCGGAGATATCTGATAGCCTGGCTATAGATGATACCTTGTTTGGTATGATTGGGATGGAAACTGGAATTGTGGAGGTAGCTGTACCTGTCTGTGGGTTTTCTATATACAGATGAATGAAGAATGCCATTGGTGACACTTATTGTGCAATCCAAGAAACTCACACTATGATTTCAGAAGCACATTTTGATTTATAGATCGAAAGATATGCATGTGATACACATTATGCAATGTCCGGTACAAGTTACGCAGTAATGGAATTTGCTAGTTACACTGATGTAGAAAATTCTACAAGCATGTTAAAAAACTGCCATATAGAAACATATAGAAACATGGAAATAGTGACAGGTAATGATACTTATTAGACAACCTGTCAAGGTCACGAATTTAAAGTGAATTCAATTTGAATTTCAAATTGAAGGCCACAGTATCAGAACTGAAAGCATAGCTGACTTTTTGATTTTTACAGTGTGGCAATTTTGACCTTGTATTTAAAATTCACTTTAACTTCACCTTAAATTCTCACTTTAGTGTAAGCATATTTCCCGTGGAAATTAGATCATTTATGCCAGAAATCCTATACGTCTTCAAGGTAGGCAAAGGACAGCCATATCTCCATACCTCTTGTTATATTTTAGCAGCTACTTGCTAAATACCTGTCACTATTTTTATCAAACCACTGATGTTTAAAGTGACACTTCAGACCCTTTGGAATCTGAAATTACTATTTTTGGGTATCTGAAATGCTTTATGTGTGAAAAGTGTGTGTCCTCTTTTATTCATTTTACAAAAACTGCAGATAGAAATAGAAATTTGACGTTTTATAAATTAGCCTTGGTACACCCCCAGGTTCCATGCAGATCATTCCTGGTTTCATTAGCTTAGTGGAGCTAAACTCAAGAAGCAGCAATTACTCAGAACTTCTGCCTTTCAAAGACTTCTCATTGAGCTGTGTTGTGAAGTCTGTGATTGGACAGCCACAGAAAGTCTGGGCTGAGGATAAAGGGGAGAGCAAGCAAAGACAGCAGAAAAGAAATCTGCAGCTTTTGTAAGCAGTTTATAAATTAAAGAGGGATTTTTTGCTGCTTGTTGGCAGCCAATCCTCTGCTTCAACTCACATGGTGCCTGGGCGCATTGCACCCTGTGCACCCACCCAGGATTGGCCCTGACAAGGAGGTACCCCAGGGTATGAAGAAAGACATTTGTGAAAGACAGTTACTCTTTGTTTAATCTGTGTGCAGAGCAGGCAGCCTGAGTACCAATGTATCTGAATTCTTTTTTTTCTGCACTGCCTGCCTTCAAGGCTAGGCTACACTGAGCCTCTGGGTTCACTTTTTTGTAGTAGTTGGTCTGTTAATCTAGCGATCCATTTACTCAACAGTTTTATTTTTTGAAAAATGTTTTATTTTGTTTGTTAGAGTAAATTAAGGAAAGCTAACAGTGTTAGTGGGTGGGTGATGGAGCTACAGTTGTACTTAGCAGGGAAGGGCCTTTAAAAAAAAAATCTGATATTATTTGTTTTTTCTTTGATTTAATTTTACTTGGAAAGCAGGTGATGAATTCGAAAGCCTCAATTTTTTTAAATAAAAATTTTAGCCACATTAACAAAGATTGTGTTTGATAGGAATTACTATTATTTTATATTTATTTATTTTTTTCATTGCAAACACAGTGACAAAATTATGTTTGTGTATTAGTTTGTTCGTATCTTTTTTTGTCTCATTTTCTTTATTTTATTTTTCTTTAAATTAATCTTACCTCCATTAGTTAGTTAATAGTTATAGTAATAAGTAGAAGTAGTAAGTTAGTTGTAGTTAATTGTATGTTAATGGTTAGTAGCAAATAGGGAAGATGTAGTCCTCTCACAGGCACAAAGCACCACACAGATTAACTCAGTTTATAGTTGTACTTTGTGGCCTAAAAAAAGTCATACATTTGTCATTTACACAGCCCCCATTTTCCATTTTTTTGTTAAAGAAAGATTTGTTTGTTTTACAGGTTTTCTTTTTTTGTTTTTAATACATAAAAAAAAACCACACCAAATAATAGATCATCCTCTTCACACTCTCTCCCAGAGGAAAGTGGCCAAAAAAGAAGCTCATGTGTTGCTGGTAGTGCCAGTTACACAATAATCACCACTGCCAGCTGTCCAATGACATTGAGAACTAGCAGCACTTACCCATTGTAACTTACTTAGATATCATTGACAGGCAGTTCTAGGTCCATCAGCACCACCAGTGATACCACCCCCAACTGTACTGATGGTGTTTGCTTCTGTTTAAATCATTTCAAAGTAGAGGAAAAATAAACCACAGTTTCATTCAGTTTTCTGCCCTTCTAGTTATGTCATCAAACAGAGCCAGCAGTAGGAGGAGGTCAAACACTTGTAGAAGTACTAATAGTCTGCTTAGCCCACCCTCAAAATTAAAGAAGACATTGAGGGAAGGATAGGTTCCAAGCAGGAAAAGCAACCATTAGTAGCAGTGTTGAGAGGTCTTCTTAGACCAGGGAGCAGCTTCCATCCTGTAGTCATCATGTTCTACATTGTGCTCTCCATGTTTATTTTCTGAAATAAAGATAGGCCTGTCAGTCATTCCAGGCAGGTTTTATAGCCCACCTAGGAACAATTTGGCAGGTTTCATTCTAGAGGGATGTCCAGGCAACAGTACAGCAAAACAATTTGATTAATCGGCTAGCTGATAGCCATTGGAAGAGCCCCCTTTAATATGGTAGACAGTAGCTCTTCACTCAGCTTGTTTCACCATAAAACAAGCTCCCATCATGGTTCCTGGTTGTGGTGTTGAAGGAGGTGCAAATGAAAACTGGTTAGTATATTTTACTACACTTCACAACCAACCTATGGTGTACTCCCAAAGACCAGAATGCCTTCCTGTCATTGAAAGGATATTGGTTGTGCCAAAGGTGTCAGAAGATGTAACCAGTTCAGGAGCATGGGGCTCTGTTATGGTTTCCAGTGCTTCAGGCAAGCAGGGAGACCACTCCTTCCTCCTCCATGATGAGGTAAATGAGCAGCACACCTCATATAATATACTGAAGAAAATAATGGCACAGTGGCTAGGACAGCCAGCTAGCACACAGACAGAAATGGGTTTTGTGGTGACGGAGCAGCAAATAGGGTCATATCTCCTGATAAAGATTGCAGGACACTTTCCCCGTAGTGTTAAGAATAGACGGCTTCTGAAAAAGGAACCAAGGAAGGCAGGCATCCAGCAGCACCATCTCAAACTAGATGTAGGGAACAGGTGGAATTGTACTTTGGAGATCCAGGAGCATATTCTAAAACAGCTGAAGCCAATCCACAACACGATTTACGATAATTTCATTGGGATTGTTAGCTCCTTAGTCACGGAGGATTGGGTAGGAAGTGGCAGACCTTGGTGATGTGGGATTTGAATCAGCCATACAGTAAGCTCTCCATTTTGTAATAACATAACTCCATATGTTTAATATATAATTTAAAAAACTAGGCAACTCTCCAATATCTTGGCAAAATTGATAAGACCATTGTTAATAACCTGGTCCTTTGCATCTAAGATGTAATTTGGCAAAGCAAGTTTAACTCATGACACTGAAGTCATACTTAGGTGCTTATCCAAGATGTAATCATGGCAGTCTTGTGACATTTACTTAATAATTCATTATGTGATAGTGTCCAAAAAGAAGGCTAAACATTAAAAGAAGGCTGGACATTAGGTAAAATATTGCTAAGACTGCATGAATATTTCATGCAAGACCTAGCATATTCACATTCATTGACTGCAACACACTGCCTGATTGAAATGAATTAATAAATACAGTTTCAAGAAAAAGTATGTGAACCCTTTGGAATGATATGGATTTCTGTACAAATTGGTCATAAAATGTGATCTGATCATCATCTAAGTCATAACAATAGACAATCACAGTCTACTTAAACTAATAACACACAAAGAATGAAATGTTGCCATGTTTTTATTGAACACACCATGTAAACATTCACAGTGCAGGTGGAAAAATTATGTGAACCCCTAGACTAATGACATCTCCAAGAGCTAATTGGAGTGAGATGTCAGGCAACTGGAGTCCAATCAATGAGATGAGATTGGATGTGTTGGTTACAGCTGCCCTGCCCTATAAAAAACACACACCAGTTCTGGGTTTTCTTTTCACAAGAAGCATTGCCTGATGTGAATGATGCCTTGCACAAAAGAGCTCTCAGAAGACCTACGATTAAGAATTGTTGACTTGCATAAAACTGGAAAGGGTTATAAAAGTATCTCCAAAAGCCTTGCTGTTCATCAGTCCACGGTAAGACAAATTGTCTATAAATGGAGATAGTACAGCACTGCTGCTACTCTCCCTAGGAGTGGCCGTCCTGTAAAGATGACTGCAAGAGCACAGCAGAGACTGCTCAATGAGGTGAAGAAGAATCCTAGAGTGTCAGCTAAACATTTACAAAAGTCACTGGCAAATGCTAACATCCCTGTTAGCGAATCTACAATATGTAAAACACTAAACAAGAATGGATTTCATGGGGAGGATACCACAGAGGAAGCCACTGCTGTCCTAACAAAACATTGCTGCATGTTTACAGTTTGCACAAGAGCACCTGGATGATCCACAGTAGTACTGGCAACATATTCTGTGGACAGATGAAACCAAAGTTGAGTTGTTTGGAAGAAACACACAACACTATTTGTGGAGAAAAAAAGGCACAGCACACCAACATCAAAACCTCATCCCAACTGTGAAGTATGGTGGTGGGGGCATCATGGTTTGGGGCTGTTTTGCTGCGTCAGGGCCTGGACGGATTGCTATCATCGAAGGAAAAATGAATTCCCAAGTTTATCAAGACATTTTGCAGGAGAACTTAAGGCCATCTGTCTACCAGCTGAAGCTCAACAGAAGATGGGTGTTGCAACAGGACAATGATCCAAAGCATAGAAGTAAATCAACAACAGAATGGCTTAAACAGAAGAAAATACGCCTTCTGAAGTAGCCCAGTTAGAGTCCTGGCCTCAACCCGATTGAGATGCTGTGGCATGACCTCAAGAAAGCAATTCACACCAGACATCCCATGAAAATTGCTGAACTGAAACAGTTCTGTAAAGAGGAATGGTCAAGAATTACTCCTGACCGTTGTGCACGTCTGATCTGCAACTACAGGAAACGTTTGGTTGAAGTTATTGCTGCCAAAGGAGGTTCAACCAGTTATTAAATCCAAGGGTTCACATACTTTTTCCACCTGCACTGTGAATGTTTACATGGTGTGTTCAATAAAAACATGGCAACATTTAATTCTTTGTGTGTTATTAGTTTAAGCAGACTGTGATTGTCTATTGTTGTGACTTAGATGATGATCAGATCACATTTTATGACCAATTTGTACAGAAATCCATATCATTCGAAAGGGTTCACATACTTTTTCTTGCAACTGTATTTATTAATTAATTTCAATCAGGCAGTGTGTTGCAGTCAATGAATGTGAATATGTTAGGTGTTACATGAAATATTCAAGCAGTCTTAGCAATATTTTACCTAATGTCCAGCCTGTCCTAATGTCTAGACTTCTTTTTGGACACTATCACATAATTAATTATTAAGTAAATGTCACAAGACTGCCATTATTACATCTTGGATAAACACCTAAGGATGACTTCAGTGTCATGAGTTAAACTTGTTTTTGCCAAATTACATCTTAGATGCAAAGGACCATTTTATTAACAATGGTCTTATCAATTTTGCCAAGATATTGGAGAGTTTTTTTTAATTATATATTAAACATATGGAGTTATGTTATTACAAAATGGAGGGCTTACTGTATGGCTGATTCAATCTTTTTCTTGCAACTGTACAATACTGAGGATAGAACACATCTATTTCATCTGACTCTTTGCATATTTCCATAACACTAACATCTTTCAGGGATATCACTGAGAATTTGAGCCAAGATACTACTAGTCTTAGTCAAGTTAAGTTTCACAAAGTGCATGTCACGATATGTGTAAGGAACCCCAAACACACAGACCCTAATCTACAACAGAGAGTACAATAGTGTGGTCACGCATAACATAATAATGGTCAGGGAGAGAGACAAGATCAATTGTAGGAGAAATTAGAATAGACGAAAGATAAGCAAAAACTCAGGAATACAGAAAAAAAGCAAACGATAATCAAGTCAAGTTTAGTAGCAGAAAATTAGAAATATCACAGACACACTGTGGGGCTAGACAAGAACCATAATAGGATGACTGGGACAAGAAATACCAGGACTTACATACTAGTGGCTTAATCAGGGTAAAAAAAACGCACACAAAAGGTGTATAAAAGGTAATAAAAAGGCGGGGCATGTATCACATAAAATTGTAAAAAAATAAACAGATCAAAATCCACATTGCAACTATTTGGTGTTAGGGTATTTAAATGAAAAGCCCATTTCATTTCATTTCATTTCATGGCTATCTAATATCTTTGTGAAATTACCACCTCACAAGAGAGGGCAACTTTTTCAGTTGCATAAACTATAAGGTGTTTTGGGTCTCTATTGTGAATTAAAAAATATTTAGAGACAAAGGGATTTAAACGTTCTTTAGAAATGTTTCTGCAATGATCTGCAATCCTTGTTTTAAGCTTTCTTGTTGTCATGCCAACATATTGGTAAGTGTATGTATTGTTAGTGCTTCTGCATGCTGTACATTGCTTGCATTTATAAAAAATTTTTTTATCTAAAAGGAATTTAAACACGTAGTTTTGCTTTAAGTAAAATTCTTAGTAAGATGACTTTTAAGATTTGGGTTACCCCTAAAAAGAATGCAGGCAGTGGCGTCTCCAGGATTCATACTTAGGGGGGCACATAATGGGTCAGGGACAAAAGTAGGGGGCAGTTATAAAAGGTGTATATGTGTGTATGTATATATATATATATATATATATATATATATATATGTGTGTGTATATATATATATATATATATATATATATATATATATATATATGTATATATATATATATATACACCCACATACATACACAGGGCTCGATAAATTCCAGGTGCCAGGTCGCCATGGCGACTAAACATTTTGCCTTGGTGTCTGGCAATTGTCAGCCCTTTGCTAAGCCGTGCAGGAAGCATTAAAGCTGACCGCCGTGGGGAGCATGGAGGTGGCGCTCGAGGGAGTAGCAACCTTCCTGCAGTTCCTCTCTGCTCCCTTGTGCGCTGTTTAGTGACATGATGTCACTCCGGCCCCGGCATCACTACAGAGAGCGCGTAGGGGAGCAGAGAGAAACTGCAGGAAGATTGAGGCGAGACACACTGGATGCCAGGAAATTATACACTTGGCTCTCCCAAAGGTAGGAAGGCTGAGTGCATTTAAATTAAAATAAAAATAGCAATTTGTGAGTGTGTGAGAAAATGTGTGTGTGTCTCAGTCAGTGTGTGTCTCAGTGAGAGAGTGTGTGCCTGTCACTGTATGCCTGCCAGAATGTGCGTCTCAGTCAGAGACTAGGGGAGGAGCCTGCGTACGGGGAGGCAATCTTCCATGCAGGGGCAGAGCTTGTGTGCCGGCAAAGTTGCTGCACAATGGCGGAACTCACAGAGAGTGGGCCCTGGTGCAAAAGAACGGTTTTGGCCCCTGAAAACACATGCCCATCAGGTGGCATAATTGCATGAGCCACTCAATAGGCCCCGGTGTAACCGCAACACTAGCACTCCCTAGTTCCACCTCTGCACTTTTATTATTACAGGCAAGACACCTTTTCAAGAAAACTGGAAAACCTTTTCAGGAGATGCAAGATAATTTTCCATGGTGTTTAGAAGGGGTGAAGTGTGTGTGTATAGAGGTGTACTATGTGTTTCTAGGGGTTGTAGTGTGAGCACGTGCTCATGTATAGGAGCTTTTGAGATTGTGTATGTGCTGAAAGAGCATGTAAAGTGTGTGCATGGGCATCTACGGGCTGCATTGTGAGTGTATGTGTATTGGGGTTGCAGTGTATGCTTATCAAGGACCTGTATATATATATATAAATATATATATATATGAGATTTGGTGTGTAATGAGGTGAAGCATGTATGGATGTGTGTGTGGGGGTGAAGGTATGTGGGGAAGAAGTGTGTATGTGGGTAAAGAGATGATGTGTTTGAGGAGTGCATTGCATGTGTATGAAAATGTGTACTCTTTGTTGGTTGGAGTGTGTGGGGGGTTCACTGTCTGCGAGGGTGTTCTGTGTTCAGGGGACGTAGAGAGTGGGATAGGAAAGAGCTTTACAATTTTTTTTTTACATTTTTTACTTTAATAATTGTTTTAAAAAGGAAAAAGAAAATGAATATTTCCCTTTCCCTGATTTTAACTTGCAGGGACAGGGTGGCAAAACCAGATCTTTGGTGGTTGAGAAGGCTGCCTATCAATCTGGTACAGGGGAGGCCACGAGATGAGAGGTGTATCTCTTAGAGCTCAAGCACTTACACAGATTGACTCATATAAACCCACAGACTGAACCATACACATACACAGACTGACCCATACACACACACAGACTGCTCCCCCACACAGACTGGCTCATACATACACAGACTGAACCCCCACCACACCAGACTGACTGCCACATACATAGATTGACCCCCCTCACACACACACACAGAGACTGACTCCCACACACACAGACTGACCCACCCCACACACAAGCTGACCCATACACACACACAAACACACAGACAGACCAATACACACACAGACTGACCCCCCCACACAAACTTACCCATACACACACACACACACACAGACTGACCTATACACACAGACTGTCCCCCACATGCAGACTGACCCATACATACACAGACTGAACCATGCACACAGACAGAACCCCCACCGCACACACAGACTGATCCCCACACACAAAGACTGAGCCCCCCACCACACACACACAGACTGACCCATACACACATTGTCCCATACACATACACACACACACACGAAAAGACTGCTCCCCCACACAGACAGGCTCATACACATACACACACAGAGACTGCTGCCCCACACAGGCTGACCCATACATACACAGACTGACCCCACACACACACATACTGACCCACCCCACACAAACTAACCCCTCCACACACACACAGACTGAGCCATACACACACAGACTGACAGACCCCACGCACACAAACTGCCCCCCACACACACAGACTGAACACCCCACCCCCACATACAGACTGATCCCCCACACACAGACTGACCCATACACACAAACACACACAGACTGACCCCCCCCCCCCACACACACACACAGACTGTCGACGCTCCCGAAACACACAGAGTCTGAACTACACACACTGACTCACACTTACCAGCAGCTGCCTGGATGCCTCATTCTCTTCACCTTCTGTGCAGAGCCGAGCTGAGCTTCCTCTGACCTATGAGGAAGTCTTCCCAGCACAGTGCCCCACCTGGCCAGTCACTGGAAAAGGGAGGAACACAGTTCCCCAGTGACAGCACTGCTTCTGCAGCTTGTGAATGGAGACTCAGTGTGCCCAACTTCAATTTAAATTGGGGGGAGGCACAAAGGGGCACTTCATGATGTAGGGGATGCAGAGATTGTCTGGGATGATATATTTTAAAAGCTTATCTTCTTTTAAAATCTCCCAGTGTTTTTTTAATGATTTTTTTCATCTTAAAACTTTTGTTGGTAAAATCCAGAATGATGGGCATAGTGATATTATTTTTACTTGTTTTTTTTAATATACTGTATTAGATAATTTCATTTTTGTTGTATAATCACCTCAATTAAAGATTCCATTTGTTTGGTATTATATTTGTTTCTTCAAGTTTCTTTTTTAAAACATGGGCTTGATAAAATTATATTGAAGGATCTATGCAGTTTTGTTTTAAGTGTATTTATTGGCTTTTTGTGATGCCTTCTAGCCACGGGGAGTAGTGACAGCTAGTAAAATCAATAAAAGAATTAGTATGTATTTTTTTAAGTAGATTTTAGAACAGAGAATGTTATTTTTAATATAGACTTCTAAGTCTAAAAAGTGAACACTAGTTTGACTAAAATAAAATTTTTAAATAATGCCTCTATCATTGTCTAAAAAGGTTAAGAATTCCTTTAGGTTTGATTCTAAGCCTTTCCAAAAAAAAAATAAAAAATAGGTGGGCAATATATGTTTTATATAAGATTAGAATTTTTTCTCCATCTTGTATTTGCCCAGATGCATTCATCTTCCAATGCCGTCATGAACAAATTATAGCTTGGGGCCATCTTTGTCCCCATGGCATTGTCCCGTTTTTGAAGGTAAAAGGAATTGTAAAACTAAAGAACATTTTTTGTTAAAATCAGTAAGTTCATTGAGCAGGGCCCTCAACCCCTCTGTTCCTGTCTGTAACTTGTCTTGTTACAACTACATATCTGTTCATCCACCCATTGTAAAGCTCTGCGGAATTTGACGGCGCTCTATAAATATCATAATAATAATATTTATACTTTCTAAAATTAAATCAATTTGGTTTGAGTGAACGATACTGTGAATGATACAGATAATATTTTTACTGCAGCACATCCTCAGTTATCATACTGAATTTTTTTTCAGATTTTTAATGACTAGTTTTTCTAAAGTATCTAAACAATTTGATTAAAAAAAAGGATAAAATGTTTGGTTTTAAATTAGTATGAGAATATGGGAAAACATTTAAAATAGGTTTAGGATCAGGAATGTTAGTTTAGTCTATATTTGTATTTTGCTCATTGCCGTATTCATAAAATCTTTTTAGAGTAGCTTCTCTGACAAACTTGTTGATGTAGGCTGCGAACTGGTCGAATTTGTGTGTGGGGGTATATTTCTCTCCTTTACTTAAAACAGCAGTTTCTGTTGCATTTAAAACTTTATGAGATAAGTTAAAAATACCAAGACTTTTTGGTGATTTATTCAATGTATTGGTAGTTGTTAAGGTAGCTCTATTCTTCCTTTATTGAAATCTCCTGTCACTTCTTCTTCCTCTAGTTTAAGACTTCTTTTTTCCCCCCTTTTTCTTCTGTTCTGTATTTTGTAGTACCTATCTCTAAAAATAAAATCTTATTCTACATCTGAGGTGTAATTAGATGATAGGGTATAAAAGCGATTTCTTTTCATAAGGTCATCTGCTGTAGGGGGTGCTCTTAAGATTTGTCTGTTAGGGGTTTTGTTTTTTAAGAAATGGGTTATGGTAATTATTTTTCTTTGAGGTTTGGGGGATATATATTCAAGTGGTTGGTCACATGAGGCAATGTTGGGAACAATATATTGTCTTTTATATGGGACAGGTTTTTGGGGGGAGACGTTTGTGTTGTTTCTGTGGTGATGGGAAGTGTAGAAAGAATGGTATCTTTTTTTTGTGGGGGTGAAGTGGTTTTTTTTAATATCTATATCTAGAAGATGGTTCAGGTTTTTCTTTTCTAGAATATTTATTATATCGTCTGTTGATAGAGGGTGAGAATCTTCTTTGGTTAGTGTTACAGTGATATTTGTTTGCAGTGGGCTTCTATCTCTATTGCAGAAGTTTGTAGAGGGGTCTTTTGACTTTGTGTTATATGTTCTGATTTGTCCTTTAGCATAGTCTTGTTTGTCTCTGATTTTTTTTTATTTTAATATGCTTGGTTTCTGTGGCAACTTTTAAAATTTTACTCTGAATAAGGACTGAATTCTGTTTGTATTCATGACTGTTCTTATACAGATTGTTTTTCTTTAAGTTGGTTGATGTCTCTGTCTATAGCAAGTAAGACCCTGTTTTTCTTATTAATGAAAATTCGAATTAGGCCTAAGGGGCAGTTTTCCTGTTGCTTGTACCACTCTTCCTTAGAGATATCTTCATCTTGATCGGAGGTGGGCATTTTAAAAAGGCCTCTCAGTGTGATTTTTTTTATCTAGGTATTTTTTTTATTTTATTTAGTATTTTTGTTGTGCATAAGAGTATTGCAAACAGGCTTGAGGTACCCCAATGGCATTCCCTTGGGCATTGCATCACATTGTATAATGGGGAATAGATAAGACTTGCACATTTTTATAATATTATATTAGAACATTACTAAAGTGTGAAAATAAATGCAGGAGAGATAGACATATAAGTTACACAGACTAAAGCATGTTTCCTCGTGAACAGTTATGTGACTCCTTGTCGTTGCTTCGTGGACCCAGGTTGCGGATTACCATGCAAGCCCCTTGATATGGTGTGTTGAGCAGTCATCTGACACCCCTGCAAGAGTTATTTCTCTTGTTTGGGCTCAGTCCATTTGGGGGGCAAGTGCAGCATCGTGGAGGTGAGACAACCCTCCAGCACCGGTGCTGTGTGAAAGTTGGTACCCTCTTGGCATGACCCTGGAATCCATTGAGGTCCAGGGTCTTCCCTGTTGGGATGGTGTGTTGGGTCCTGCGGTCGTTCGCTGTGTGTTGTCACTTATGCCTTGTGGCCCTACCCATGTGTGGCTGGTACCTGTGGGTTGTGGCCCTTGTTGCTTTCAGCTCGGGTGGGCAACTTGTATGAATGGCTGAGGTGGGGGGACCGCTTTGTGCCCTTTAGTGGCTTCCCAAACCTCCTCTGGCTGTGTACTTGGTCCTGTTCAGTTGGTACAGTGGTAGTCATAGCTGGCCTAATACGGGTTAGCAGCTAGGCCCAGAATCGGTCATACATATCATCAAGAGTGTCTTTTACTTTGTTGCTTGGGCCTGCCAGGTCATGCTGCTGCATCAGCTTGCCACGTGAAACTGAGTCTGATGCGGCTGCCATTTTGGAGACCTCGGCTCCCGTGTATCTTGTGTAGTCTGCAGGGTCAGCCGTGAGGTATGGGGCGTGGGTTGCTCCGTCTGGCAGGGACCGGGATATCCCCCACTGGTCCACGGGGAATCCCCCACTGGTGTCTTGCTCACTTGTGGCAGCAGGAGGAAAGCGGCCGCCTTTCCCATCCACCGTCTCCAGTAGGCCTCAGCCTTCTGCTGCAGTTCCCGGTCGCTCTAGGTGTTGAGTTTGGTGACTACAGGTACCTGCAGGCTGCCCTAATCTGTATAGCTCTGTTATGAGAGGTTTCCAGCACTGCAGCCCAAGACATCATCGAGGGTATAGACCGTGCAGCAGGAGCTCATGCGAGGCACAACTTGTCAGCTTGCTGGCTTGGCTCTGCCCCCCAATCTGTGTATTTTTCTTCAAGTGGCTATTTCCCACTTTAATTTTATTTCTTCACTTTCTAATTTTTGAAGAGTAGTCTTTGTGATTCTCTAATTGGAATTATATTAGTGTGTTCTACAATATTTTATCATCAAATACATTAATATCAATCATGAAGTTATTTCTGTAGTAAAAATAAAAATACTTTTTTTTCAAAGAGAGCAGCCATCTTGCTACTCCCAAGTGGTGGCTGTTCGTGATCTCAGAGGTCTTGTTTTTGCACCCAACCCCCACTAGTAGCATCCAGAGCCCCTATCTGCCATTGGCTATAGGCATAGTTTTCTATACATTCCAAGCCACGACAATGCCAATCATGTGGCGCAACTGTCAGCCGCCACCTCGGTACACCTTTTCCAGCTATGTAATACTTGTTTTTAATGTGTGTTATAATTTTAAACATGGTTTGCCTCCCTACTTTTAAAGATTGTAATTGTTAAGGGAATTTACTCAGATGTACTGTTAATTGAGAAGAGGGGTCAGATGACATATGAGGAACCATATCCCTGTAATGCACTTGAAAAAGTGCACCAATTAAGTATGCTTTGTATACTTGTTCCCATATTTGCTTTTATTTATGTGAGCAGTAATAAAGTGTATTCTATATTATACTTCTGGACCTTCCTGAATTTCCTGACAATAATACATCACCAAGGCCAGTAAGGTATTGTCATGCATGAAAAAAGGCATTCATTCTCAAGACGAGAATATAATTGTGCCTCTTTATAAATCACTGGTAAGACCACATATTGAATATGCTGTGCAATTTTGGGCACCTGTTCTAAAGAAGGATATTATGGCACTAGAAAAAGTGCAGAGGCGGGCTACAAAATTAATAAAAGGAATGGAACATATCAGCTATGAAGAAAGGTTAACAAATGTAAACCTATTTAGTTTAGAAAAACATCGCCTGAGAGGGGATATGATAACATTATACAAATATATTTGGGGCCAATACAAAGCATTGTGTGGAAATCTATTCACAAACCGGACTTTACATAGGACACAAGGTCATGTGTTTAGACTGGAAGAAAGAAGATTTTGTCTAAAGCAAAGGAAAGGTTTTTTTACTGTAGGAATAATAAGGATGTGGAATTCTCTGCCTAATTCTGGTTTTATCAGAGTTCATACAGATGTTCAAAAAGCTACTAGATGCATACTGCAAAAACAGAATATTCAAGGATATAATCTTTCAATGTAGGGTAATAACTGTTTGATCCAAGGATAAATCTGACTGCCATTCTGGGGTCAAGAAGGAATTCTTTCCTAGCTTGTTGCAAAATTGGAAGTGCTTCAAAATGGATTTTGCCAAACTTTTTGCCTTCTTTTGGACCAATAGCAAAAAACAAATGTGAGGAAGGCTGAAAATGATGGACACAAGTCTCTTTTCAGCTATGTAACTATGTTATTTTCATTCGTTGAGAATATACTACCCAAGCGTTTTGGATTGAACAAAACCTTCTTTTTGCTCTCAAATAGTTTTTAATCGTTATATCCATAGGTGGGGATGTAACTGCCAAGGTGCTACATCTAAAGCTAAGAGATAGCTCTCTACACTGTAAGTGTATTTCCTTGTTTTAATTTGGAAATTTGACATACTGCACCATATATTTTTCCTCTATTTTCCCACCACATGCCACTTGGAATTTGACGATCCCTCCAAGGCGCTTCTCCCAATTTTTCATCTCCTCTATTCCATATTGATGACCAGACAAGAGAGACTCTCATTTGGGGGTAACAGCTGTCTTTCACATTTGGACATAGTGAGCGCTAGAAACCGTTTTTATCTTTTATTTTGTGTATACATAAGTGCCAGTATGAAGGGAAACATGAAAATTTTGATTGGGCAAAAAATCTTTTAATGTATTTATAAATATTTATATTAGATATTAATATATTCAAATTGCAGCCATAGACACAAGCACAAAAATACATGTACACATATACATACTCTGATACATGCACATACAAACAAACAGATGCACAGAGAAACACATGCTGACAAATACAGTCATACAGTTACAATGTGTATCTGGATGTGTATATTTCTGAGTGTCATCAGCGCTAGTATCACAACTATTTAATATTTAATTCACTAAGTGTTCCTATTTTTTGCAAATGTGTTGTCCTTGCCTGGATCTCTGTTTTTCCATCTTGTGATTATTATTTGCTGTTTGTGTTACTCAATATTCCTGGTCTTATTTTCAGCTTTTTGGAGTGCTGCCATGACTATTTTCTGCCATACATCGCCGCAATTTTTGTATCAATAAATGTGCACTTTTTCATTATTTCTGTGTATTTTTCTGTGGATCATAAGGGTTTTCTCCTGAGTGAGGACTGTATTTTGTTTTATATTTCTCAGTGTGTCTGGCATTGTCTATCTGTGTATGTGTCTGAGACATGACTGGAAGAGAGAGTGTGACAGTGCAAATGGAGGTAAGTGTGACAGGAATGGTGGTTAATGTAACAGAATACATGTAGCATGGTTGGGATGAATGTGTCATGTTTGGAGGAGGAGGGGTGACAGTCAATGGGAGATAAGTATGACAGGATTGGGAAGTCATTGTGACAAGGCAAGTGTGGCATGGTTAGGGGATAAGTGTGACAAGATTGAAGGTATTAATGTGAAAGGGTAAGTTGGTATGCTTAGGGTAGTGTATCACAGGGTTGGAGCGAATGTGACATGGTTGGAGGAGGGAGTGCGACAGAACAAGGGGAGGTGAGTGTGACAGGGTTGGGGATGAGTGTGACAGTGCGAGAGAAGGTGAGTGTGAAAGGATTAGTGGGCCTAAATAGGATAGGGTGAGGGAGAGTGAGAGCAGGTGAGTTTGGTATGGTTGGAGGGGGGAGAGTGACAGGATTAGGAGGGTGAAGAGTGAGGGCAGGTGAGTGTGTCTGGGTAATAGAGGTTACAGTGTGTAGGAGGATGTGATGGAGACAGTGTGCGAGACGGGAACCCTATGTGGAAGGAGGTAACAGTGTGGATGGAGTGACAGTGTGTGTGGGAGTGGGTGACATTGTGAATGATAGGGGGTGACTGTTTTGGGGGGGTTGACAGTGTATAATAGTGACAGTGTAAACAGTTACAGTGTGTGAAAGAAGGTGGCAGTGACACTGTGTGGGGAGGCTGTGTTTCAGTGACCAGCCTCCAAACAGTAAATGCATTCAAATACCTTCGTCTTTGATGGAATTCCCTGGTTGTCCAATGGTCTCTCCCAGATCATCAGGTTGGCTGGCTCTCCTTGCTGTGGCTGATGATCTGGGAGAGACCATAGGACATGGTAAGTGTCTTGCAAGCTCCAGTCAGAGCGTTGCAATTGTAACCCACGGCAATGCTCTGATTTGCCAGATTGCGATAAACTTACTTTACAGTCTGCAGCTCTGCACCCGGCAAAGTTGCAGACTGGTGGCACTTGATCACTCCCCCTCAGAGTAGAATGAGCAGAGGGGACTCGCACCCGGTGGTACACAGGACAAGCCTCCAGGCCCCCTCTTGGTGTCAGACCATCAGTGATGGACCAAGGATCCGACTGGTCAGTCTGCACTATGATGATTTAGGCAGCCTCGAGGCTTTAGGTGGCCACCTAAATCACCTAATTAGAGAGCTGCCTCTGCTGTTAGATGTTTAGCAGACCTTTCTCTTATTTGGTATCCTTAATTATGGCAATCCATAGTAAGGATAGCAAATTTTGAAATATCTACTAATATCCAATTTAAGAAAAGGGCATTCTCTGTTTGATGTCACACCAATGAATAGAACAAAATAATTTCCCTGCACATCCCTATTAAAGAAAGATGTAGCACAGAACAGGAAACCAACTAAAAATATACAGGTAAACTTGCACTTAAAACCAACAATACAGTCACACAACAATTGCACAATATGCACAGAAACATTGCACCCAAAGAGACACACCCCACTTTCATGACATTTCATATTTCATAACATTTCATACACACAAAAAAACAGCTACATGGACACTAAGACTTCATTGTCTCTAGGTGTTCTGGATAAAAAGTGACATTGTATGAGTTTTTGTAAGTGCAAATACTGACATGCATTCACACAAATACTAACTCCACACCAAAATACTTCACCATATGCCATTGATAGCTAACATGACTTAAAGGAACACACTAGGCACCCAGATCACTTAATCTCAATGACATTATCTGGATGCCATAGCCAGGGCCGTCTTTAATTTTGATTGGTCCCATGACAAGCATTTACTTGGGCCCACTGACTACATATAGATACACACAAATACACTACTTGACACATGCAGATACACACTGACCGCATATAGATACACACAAGAACATACAGATACACACAGACTTCATAGAGATACACTGACACACACATAGACACACACACAGATACACAACCTGACACACATGCAGATACACAGATACAAACACTGACATACATGCAGATATAAAGGTACGCACACTGACTACATATAGATACAGCGACACACACACTGACACACATACAGACACACAGATACACAGCCTGACACACATGCAGATATACAGATACAATGCGACAAGGGAAAAAAGTGAGTTAACTACCTCACATAGATGGTGATTAGGGCACTATAGCATTAGGAATACATATGTATATTACTAACTCTGGGATGTTTCTTTAAATTTCTAATAATTTCTAATTGGAGTGGTGGCTTTACTTGCACACATGGTGCAATTTTCTGCTTCAATATTGTGAAAATCAGAAAACTGTTTAATATAGTAAATGCTGTGTTTTCATAACATTACCTTTTTGTGACAGTTTCCAAATACAGAAGTTTTTATGATACTGCATTTTCTTTCTGCCCAAGCTTTACAGTATGGATTTTTATCGCAAGGGAATACTTGTGTTTCTGTATTTTTACAAAACGGGTCAGTTTTCCATGAGTCGGCAAATCTCAGAGTTTCAACAACTAAAGATCCATCCCTTGCTTTGAAGTCATCCTTCATATTTCCATTGTTATTTCCACAGAGGCCGCAAACCTTTCCCTATGTTGATTAAAAACAAAAACAAATAATGGTAACTGAAAAACAATGTACAATACTGCAGTACTTTACAATCTCAAATGTAGATTTATAAAAATTCAAGTTCAATTGCAGCTTTTAGCAAGGTCTTCCTCTAGATTTAGTATAGCACAATATGACATTAAAAGAACACTATAGGGTCAGGAAACAAAATTATGCGTCCCTGATCCTTGGGACACAGAACCACCATCTAGCCCTCCCTATAGTAAAATCTTACATTTATTACAATCTGCTGCTGCTGGCTCTACTACTGATCTGTTTGGTCTGGTCTCTCTACTGAACTGTGAATGTCTGAATTATACATAAGTTCCTTTTAGAATGTAGGAACATTTTGTTGACAAATTAGTCAATCAAGATGATTATTTTTCTGTAGCCACCATCTGTATTTAGTATTTTGCTAAATCTTAGGTATTGGAGATTAGAACTAGTGTATTTAGCTGACAGAAGACAAGATTATCAGGTGTCCACAAAGGTATAACTCAGCTAACTCAAGATAGCATAGATATTATAGGTTAGAACTAGTGTATTTAGCCAATAGACAATAAGACTATCAGGTGTCCAAGAAGGCACAAGCACAGCTAATTTAAGATACTATAGGATTAAGCTGTACGTTAAAACTTTAAGATTGTTCCTAGGTTGCCTTCTACATTATATTCTAGTTAATCACCTTGCTTAATAGGTCATAACTGTGCTGAGATCAATAGGGACCTACTAAAAGGGACTTTAGCTGTAATGTACTAATACACATTGTTTTAGAGACTAATGATTGCTAAACCTCTAAATATTGTTCGAGCTATTAAAATTGGCTAGTAGAGCTACCAAGAGTTATCTATCTTACTACGCCTTATTGCACCTAAATCCAATGTTTAGACAGCAGTCCCCTATTTAGTGCCCACAGCAGTACCTCATCTTCTTTGGCAATTTGTTATAAATAGTTGCTACATATTGGGACACAGCAATTATCTTCCCTAATAGGGAACACATTATATATTATTATTTTTTTGTTTTTTCCTGTTTGCAACTTAGGACTTAGGTTTTATCACCCATTTTTTGTGTTCCCTTTAGTAATATGGGCTCATTTTCTACCTAAAAAGTGGCAATCCTGCTCTACTCTACATACTTCAGAACTACATCCAGACTTCAGATCAGAATGCTGCTTGTGTGTGCGCACAAGCCGATGTGAGCACATGAGCTAGCATGCACGTGCATGGAGGGAGCCCTCCAGAGGCTTCTCAATAAACAACCGCTGATTGGCTATGTTAACAATGCTGGTAATTTCAGATACTGTTTGCTTTCGGTTCGTCGGGGAGTGCTAAAGGCTGAGCGATTATAGTTTGCAGTTTGGGTGTTGATTCAAACGTTCTCCAGAAGAAAATGCAGTATTCCAGTAAATTCTCCACGCAATCAGACACATACCCAAACATCAGCCTAAACTAGATGAAGGGTACAACAGGAATGAATTTACTCAGGCCAACTGGCAGGTTTATATGCATGTCCCCATGCAAGGGGTTTACCGTGACATATTCCAGGGGCATTCCCCACTGGACCTGAGAGGGGACTATGGCAAAGTACACACTGTAACTACACTGGCTCTCAGGTACAGGACACTCACACACAAAACAGGATAATTCCTCCCCTGTACCTGTGAGATAATTGAGTCGGGAACTGTACTAAACTCAATTATCTCCAGGCACAGAAAACATACATTTTAATAGCACCTAGAAAGTACCCCCAAAACACATGGAAATCCACAACAGTCACATCCCTTGATAACCCCGATATGGGGGACAAGCATATCAAAACAATCACCCAGATCGGTTCAGGGGTTCGGGAAGTCATCATTTGACCAACCGCACAGAAAGTCTTATGTCCAAAACAGTTTCAGAGGTAGCAGTTCCCCTATTTCGTGGGAACAAACCTAGCGCTCTCCTGGCTAGTCAGTGAAAAGAAGCAGTCGTTTGCAAAGTTGACCGGCGTTCGGGAAGTTGAGTGTCTGATTTTAGTTCCAGATACTCAATGACCAAGTCCCGCAGCCTCCTTCCATGTGAACAAAATGGCTGCCTTTTTCTCCAGCATGTGGCGTTCGGCCTATATGAATGGCAGCCACACAGGGAGAGACTTTAATCTGCAGTTTGCTTTGTAGTTAATGAACCAGAGGGGTGGTCGGTGTTCGGTAGTTTTATCTACTGAAGGAGGAAAATCAAAGTTAAAGAAACAAAAGGTGTAGTTTCTTCATAGGCTAATCTCCCTGAAGGAGACTAAAAGTTTTTTTCCAGAGAAAAGGAGGAGGGCTTGCAAATGCTGCAGTTCATAAGAACTGTAGTTTTTGCAAACTGTTTTAAGATATACCCCAATTAATTAATGAATTAAAATGCCTGCATGTATTCATTGGGGGTGTATCTACTAAACAGTGATTTCAGTGTTTTTTCTTCTAATATGTGCAGTGGATTGTTCATTTAACTACCCAAAAGGAATAACATACAGCGTTTGTGAAAAAAAAGTTTACTTTTACAGCATTCTGTGTTTAATTTCTTTATAGTTAAGTTTTTGGGGTTTTTTTAAGTTCTCATCTCCTGCTCTGTCTATTGAACTTCAATCTGTAAAAGAGGCTTTGTTGGCTCTAGCAGGCACTTAAAGGACCACTCTAGGCACACAGATCACTGCAGCTTAATGAAGTGGTCTGGGTGCCAGGTCCAGCTAGGGTTAATCCATTTTTTTTAATAAACATAGCAGTTTCAGAGAAACTGCTATGTTTGTAAATAGGTTAAGCCTTCCCCCAAAGCCTCTAGTTGCTGTCTCATTGACAGCCGCTAGAGGCGCTTGAAAATCACAGTGAGAGCATGCAAGCATCCATAGGAAGCATTGATAATGCTTTCCTATGTGACCGGCTGAATGCGCGCACAGCTCTTGCCGCGCGTGCGCATTCAGCCGATCGGAGGCAGAGAGCTCCCCGCCCAGCGTTAGAAAAAGGTAAGTTTTACCCCTTTTCCCCTTTCCAGAGCCGTGCGGGAGGGGGAACCTGAGGGTGGGGGCACCCTCAGGGCACTATAGTGCCAGGAAAACGAGTATGTTTTCCTGGCACTATAGTGGTCCTTTAATAGAATGGGAGAGTCTGATCTAAACTCTGTACAGTAAGGGAAGTTACAAAAAAAGCATACTATTTCAGGAAGTGTGTAGGATGGCAGAGTGAGTCACAGCCAGGGAATATGTGAATAGGGCTGCATAAACAAACAGATTTAACAACTCAGGGGAACATAACTTACCATGTAGACTGTAAAGGCAGAATCACCAAACCTACTTTATTAAGCTGAAGCTGTCATTGTATTTAGAGTGTCCCTTCAATGCTTTATCAAATGTAATTGTTTGTAAATAAATACAAAAGTGCTGTTAAGTATTTGTCACAGAATAAACAATTCTATCATACAGTTAAAAATAAAGAGGGAAAGGATACTAAAACTTACATTTTAAAACACGTGTAGAAAAATGAAAATATCAATCAGTAATTCAAAGTAAATAAAATGCTATCAATATACATTTTAACTAACAAGCCAGCAGTATAATATGTTAGCCTAATATGATTCTGTGTTCAACAGGCCTGTTTTATTAATTCTCTATTTTTTTATTGCAACAATCTTTTTGATCCGTTATTTAAATAAAACATATAAAACAGTTTAATGCTAAATGCTATTGTTTTGCTGGAAACAAATTAATTAAACAGCTCAGAAATAATAATAATAGTAAAATGAAATGTCATAATTTTGTAATTATTTACTTACATTCCAACGTGAATCTAGTCGAACTGTCAATCTTGTATATCGGTCCCAGATACAAGTAAGTCCATTTAGAAATGAGAAAGTTATGTATAAACCAACTGTGTTCATTGAATATAAAGGTGTATATTGACTACTTGAGCAATCTAATATTTCAGAGCTTTCGATTATTGCGTTTCCATCTTGGAGAGTAATGACAATCCCCTGGAAAAAAACAAAACACCAATATATATTTGTGAGACCTAATGTTTTATTCATTCATTTATTTAATATTATAGATACATTTATAAATTATAGACACATTTAAACATGTAAACAACATAGATACCTGAAAATCTATTGTTATTTTTCTTGCACAGGTTTTTCCATCATCACAGCAGGGTACACTTTGTGCTAGGATTCGAAATGTCCCGTGATCACTATTGCAATAATCCTGTAACAATAAAGTTATTAAATAGAGGAAAACATACACGATTACAAAACATTTTTTTTTAAAACTACTTAACCCCTTAAGGACACATGACATGTGTGACATGTCATGATTCCCTTTTATTCCAGAAGTTTGGTCCTTAAGGAGTTAAATAAGTTGACTTTCATCACTTATAGGGAACATTTAATGTATTCAGAAACCTATTAGAGAAACATAGAAACATAGAATGTGACAGCAGATAAGAACCATTCGGCCCATGTAGTCTGCCCAATTTTCTAAATGACCTTATCTTATAGCTAGGATAGCCTTATGCCTATCCCACGCATGCTTAAACTCCTTTACTGTGTTAATCTTTACCACTTCAGCTGGAAAGCTATTGCATTCATCCATTACCCTCTCAGTAAAGTAATACTTCCTGATATTATTTTTAAACCTTTGCCCCTCTAATTTAAGACTATGTCCTCTAATTTAAGACTATGTCCTCTTTAAATATGGTCTCCTCCTTTACTGTGTTGATTCCCTTTATGTATTTAAATGTTTCTATCATATCCCCCCTGTCTTGTCTTTCCTCCAAGCTATACATGTTAAGATCCTTTAACCTTTCATGGTAAGTTTTATCCTACAATCCATGAACCAGTTTAGTAGCCCTTCTCTGAACTCTCTCTAAAGTATCAATATCCTTCTGAAGTTACAGTCTCCAGTACTGCGTACAATACTCAAAGTGAGGTCTCACCAGTGTTCTGTACAATGGCATGAGCACTTCCCTCTTTCTACTGCTAATGCCTCTCCCTATACAACCAAGCATTCTGCTAGCATTTCCTGCTGCTCTATTTCATTGTCTGCCTACCTTTAGGTCATCAGAAATAATCACCCCTAAATCCCTTTCCTCAGATGTTGAGGTTAGGACTCTATCAAATATTCTGTACTCTGCCCTTGGGTTTTTACGTCCAAGATGCATTATCTTGCACTTATCCACATTAAATGTCAGTTGCCACAACACTGACCATTTTTCTAGTTTACCCAAATTATTTGCCATTTGGCTTATCCCTCCTGGAACTTCAACACTGTTACATATCTTAGTATCATCAGTAAAAAGACATACCTTACCATCAAGACCTTTTGCAATATCACTAATAAAAATATTAAAGAGAATTGGTCCAAGTACAGATCCCTGAGGTACCCCACTGGTGACAAGCCCAAGCATCGAATATACTCCATTGACTACAACCCTCTGTTGCCTGTCACCCAACAATATTGGAATCTAAACTTAAAGATTGCAGTTTATTGATAAGCCTTCTATGTGCAACAGTGTCAAAAGCCTTACTGAAATCTAGGTAAGCAATGTCTACTGCACCACCCTGATCTATTAGTTTAGTTACCCAATCAAAAAAATCAATAAGATTAGTTTGGCACGATCTCCCTGAAGTAAACCCATGTTGTCTCCGATCTTGTAATCCATGTGTTTTTAGATGTTAAACAATTCTATCCTTTAACATGGTTTCCATTACTTTCCCCACTACTGAAGTAAGGCTTCCTGGCCTATAGCTGCCCGATTCCTCCCTATTACCTTTCTTGTGAATGGGCACAACATTCGCTAACTTCCAATCTTCTGGGACTACTCCTGTTAACAATGATTGGTTAAATAAATCTGTTAATGGTTTTGCTAGTACACCACTAAGCTCTTTTAATAACTTTAGGTGTATTCCATCAGGCCCATAGACTTATTTGTCTTTACTTTTGACAGTTGAAATAGAACCTCTTCCTCTGTAAACTCACGTGTAATAAATGACTCATTTATCCTTTTTCTTAACTGAGGTCCTTTCCTTCATTTTCATTTGTAAATACGGAACAAAAATATTCATTGAGGCAGTCAGCTAGACCTTTATCCTCTTCTACATAACTTCTTTTGTTTTTAATCTAACTAATCTTTGTTTTATTTTCCTTTTCTCATTTATGTATCTAAAAATGTTTTTTCCCCTTTTTGTACTGACTGTGCTATTTTCTCTTCTGTGTGTGATTTGGAAGCTCTTATAACTTGCGTAGCCTCTTTCTGCCTAATTTTATAATCTGTCTTCCTCACTCTGGGTTTTTTATAATTACTAAATGCTAACTTTTTGTATTTTACTATTTTGGCCACATCTGCGGAGTACCACAGTGGTTTATTTTATTTTTTGCTTTTACTGACAAGCCTAATGCAATTTCCTGTTGCCTTCAGTAGTGCAACTTTTAAATAATCCCATTTCTCTTTTACTCCATTTAAACTGCTCCAGTCCGATAATGACTCCTTTACACATATTCTGATTTTAGAAAAGTCTGTTTTTCTAAAGTCTAAAACTTTTGTTTTTGTGTGGTGTGACTCAGTCACTGTTCTTATATTAAACCACACTGACTGATGCTCACTGGATCCTAAACTTTCACCTACAGTAATATCTGATACCAAATCTCCATTTGTTAACACTAAATCTAGTATGGCCTCTTTACGACTTGTTTTAGAGATAATCTCAGTAGGGAGTTAAGAATATGTGTGCTCCTGGCACAAGTAGCTATTTTTGTTTTCCAATTCACATCAGGAAGTTTAAAGTAACCCATGATAATAACATCCCCCTTCATTGTCATTTTAGCTATTTCCTCAACTAGTAGATTATCTAACTTTTCAATTTGTCCTGGGTGCCTATAAATCACACCTTCACGAGTTACTGTGTGATTACCAAATTCTAACGTAACCCAAACAGACTCTATGTTCGCCTCACTAACTTTTATTAGGCTAGATTTTATGCTATCCTTCACATACAGGGCCAGCCCTCCCTCTTTATTGCCTTCCCTGTAGAGTACCCTGGTATTACTGAATAGATGTTGCAGCTTGTATGCATCCTGCAAAATTACTAATGGGTTTGATTGGGTTACATCCAGAGGTGTAACTAGAAACCACAGGGCCCTGGTGCCAAAATTGCCCTGGGATCCTGCCTCCTCCTTCCCCACATACGTCTCCCGACTCCCCTCCCTGCCCCTCCAGTTGTATAACATAACACATATAGATACATACACGGACACACATACTAATACATAAACACAGAATTACACACATTCAGATATTCAGATACACATAATTACACTTCTACAGATACATACAGGTACACAGACACACACTGACACACATGTGGATATACAGAAAGATACACATATTAACACATGCAGATATCCTTACACAGAATGACATGTATACAAATACAAACAGTACACACATACAGATACATATGGGCACACATTGACACATATGCAAACAGATACACTTACCGAAACACATGCAGAAAAAACAGATACACATGCAAACACACATGCAGACACAGGGCACACAGACACACATACAGACACACATACAGACAGATACACATATAGACAGGATGCAGATACACAGACACACTTAATAACAAACACTGAAATACAATGACACATATACAGATATAAACTGTGACACACTTTCAGATACATAGGGGAAAACAGTGACACACATGCAAACAGATATACATACAGACCCTCATGCAAACAAAAAGATACACAGACAAAGAGAAACACATACAGACAAAAAAAATACAATACAGACACAAATGCAGACAAACAGATACATATACATACAAAGAGATATACATACAAACAAATAGATACACACACATGCAGACACACACACATACAAACATACACACACATGCAGACAAACATACAGACACACAGATACAGACATTAACACACACACAAACTGTTAAAAATGTTAGTTCCCCCTCCTGTTTTCTACCTTTAGGTGCAGGGGAGTGATTTCCCTGGGGTCCAGTGGCTACCTAATGCTGATGGGAGTCAGAGCTCCCACTCTGACTCCCTCCTCTTTTTCTGATGCTCTCCTCCAGCACGGCTCTGTTAGCTGGGAGGAAGTGATGGCTTCCTCCTAGTGCTCTGATGTAATCACTGGGACCTGGTTGCACTCTTAAAGTGCTGCAGCGCTGCAGCACTGACTGGGCTCCAGGTGGCCACAAGAGCATGGGCCACCAAACGGGCCCCTTCAATGCGGCCCCTGCAATTGCTCCGTGCGGCTGGGGTTGCATCACAATGCTGGCGGGCATCCCAGTTGCAGGGTCGGACCTGTGACCATTGTAGTTCTGCCACTGGTTACATCTATTGTAAAGTGTCAAAAACAATATTTATTGCTAATGATAATCATCACCTAAGGCCAGTGATCTAGAAAGTGGAATTTCCTTAAGTAATCAAATTATAATTTCTAGGAAGTCAAACTGGAAAAAAAGTAATTCAAACTAAATCCCAATTCCCATACATTAAAAGAATATTTAACACCATGAACACTTAATCATGAAGTAGTCATTATGATGCAAGGAGTAGACCATTTTTGAATGGTTTGACTTCCTACACTGCTCTCTGTCTCCACTATTTCTTCTGTAGTGCCAGAAGCTCCTAAGACCTTAACCGTTGGGCTTAGCTATGACAGACAGTAGCAAAAGTAGTAGAAATTAGTAGAGGCTTCTTTTTAGGAGTTTCCAGCTCTCCATAGGAAGTAGTGGAGGTGGGAATCAGTATAGTTACTTACAATTGGGAGGGGGGGATTCCAGGGAACTCCTTGCACCATAACCAATACATATTGCTGTTTGGGTTATGGTGCTTGGAGGGCTAACTTAAGAACCTGTATGTACATTTTTTCTCATAAAAAAAATGCTGCTTGTTCATAATACCTCATGTTTTCATTGTTTTTTAAAAGTCTTTTTGGAATTACCATACTTCTTTTATGTGGTACACAGTAATATGTGTAAACAAAAGCCATATAACCAAGTATGTAGTGCATATTTCAAATATGTAGTGGTTGCAAATAAGTGATTGATGTTTTTCTTAAACTTACCTCAACAATTGTATACTGGCAGAGACCATCAAACATGAACCTCTTTTCATCAAATCCCATATAGTGTCCATCCCCATAGACATGGCAAGAAGATTCACACTTATTGTTTGTACAACTCCAAGCACCTTTGTTGCAGACACTGTCCAAAACAACATTCACATTACAAAATGGAGCTGCATGGTTAAGTATTTAATGTTTATTTAATGTTTCTACTGGAAATTATTTTTACATCTATGCATTTTACATAATGAAACTCTAAATTATGTAAAATTAATTCTGACACATCTATGTTTTGCTTCTCTCCAAACATGTGCATAAATAGGTTTAGCTCATGAAGCCTAATTTACCATTCTTTTAGATTCAGGGCTGTTTTCCATACTACACAATACATTTTGGGAAAAGGGATATAGCCACACGCATCACAATATAAACAGTTATTGTCAAAATGGAACAAGTAGTAAGTTGATTCTTTATGTATAAACTAATTCACCAGTGGTGACTAGTGAAGTTTTAAATAGGAAATGTAATTTCTCTGACATTTAAACTGTTGTGTATATAGCCTTAAAAATCTCCTGTTGCCCCCTGTGAGTTAGGGGAACACTAAAAAAATAAAGGCGGACATGCCATTGCCTCCCCAGCTTCCACCCATGCTGGTGAGGCTAAATTATATGCCCATTGTTGACCTCCCTCCAGGCCTAGCCCCATACATGACCAGTGGGTGGAGACTCTAAAAGTTAAGTTGCATGGGTAGTGGGTGGGGCTATTAATACGTAATAGTATCCCTTGAGTCATTCCCACAATTAAAAAGTCCTGAAGGTGGGCACACCCTTTTCTATGCCCTCTCCCCATTCATAGATTTATGGTGGAGGGTATTTAACACAATTAGACAATTTTAAAAAGTGTTCATACCCGCTCACTCCAATAACAGTGAAGGGGCCCAATAAATCTAATACCTTTAAAATAAAAAAAATCATACTCACCTCAGAATTCTTTCTTCTTAAATCTTATTTTCTTCATCTCGACAATAGGCCAAAGAAAAAAATGTATCCATCTTCATACATTGAGGCTTTGTGCTGAATCCCATGTCAAGGGGATAAAGGCCTTCATCAGCTTTACAATATGAGTGAGAGTACTCTGATTAGAGCTAATTAGAGCACTCTGACAGGAAAGTCTCACCTCATTAACACACCCAGCAGGTTGGGGCATAAGGGAAATTTAAAAACGTAGGTGATATGTTGACATTTTAAATATTTTATAATTTTGAAAAAATCTTAAAAAAAACGTATCTGAAAATATTCACTTGAATTCTATATGTTTGTTTGTTATTGTTACAATGGCTTAGAGAAACACTTGAAACTAACCCATGGGGGAGTGAAAAAACAATGGTAGTTCTTTGCATATAAGATGTTAATACGCTACATGAATGTATAGTACCCTTAAACATGTTGGATACTGTATGTGGTGAAAGTAACCTCGCCACTTGTACTTGGAGGGGCCTGCTTGCCAGCCTCCTGCCCACAGACTATGGGCGCTGCAGGGAAACCTGTAAAAGACTACTGAACTTGACCAACTGTGTAAAAAATTGATATGCAAAACTGCAATATTGCATATAACTTTCTGTGTATGTGGCTGGTTTTACAAGTTGGGGTCATTTACTTGATACCAGTGTGATAAGGATGAAAAATTTCAGTAGCATTTTACAACACCCAGCTAAAACAAAAGCTTACATCCCTCCATCAGTTCTCCTGCCAACCAGTTTTCCATTCATGTTATCAGAAGATCAGAGTAATGAAGATTTAGGTGTAACCATGAAAGTATGCATTTTCCCAAGCCATCCTGTCCAATCTACCTACAAACCAACCCTAACTGGTCACTTTTTACAGAGTGTTGAAGTGTAATTGGAGGGAAGAGATCAAAGGGAAAGACTTGTGTAAAGACAGAACTCTCTGGAAAAAGAGGGTGGGATAAACCACTTTTGGGAGGGAAGAGGGATTCTGGGACTTGTAGTTAATGACTGCAAGAATCAGTCTTTTTGTAAAATGACAACAGCCAAGGAGGTTGCACTCCTCTCCTTTCTCTCTTCTCTTTGTTTTTTTTGGAGAGGACAGCGCAGCAAGCACAGGTGACTGTCCCAGAATATCCAAGACTAAGGCGCAAGTGGAAAATGTCTAAGTATTGCTCTTTTATTATGTATCTTTTGATTATGTATGGGATGTGGTTATTATGTGTACTGTGTATATCCTTTTTAAATCTGTAACAATATCCTGAATCAATATTAACAATACATTTTATTATACACTTGTGTTTGTATCTTATTTGTCCCACATTCCCTAAAAGAATATCCTAATATCCTTGAAGAATATCCTTGTAAGAGGGTCATAATTTCTTTCCCAACTGTTTTGGGTATAGGGCCATGTGCACGGTTGGTCAAAACTATGACTTCCAGGAAATTCCTGAACCCTTGAACTGATCTGGGTGATTTTTGGATATGCTGCCCATCAAGATGAGGGCTATCAAGGCTATCAGGGGATGTTTTATGGTTTTTTTTAATGTGTTTTTAAGGTTTTTGGGGTTTCATAAAATTGTATGTTTTCTGTGCTTGGAAATAATTGGGTTAGATTAGTACAGTTCCTGATTCAATTATCTCCCAAGCACAGAGGAGGGATTCTATTGTTTGTGTATGGGAGCGTCTCACTGTATGACTCTGTTTTTATTGGTTTATTCACTTTGTGTCCACTTGGGTGTCAGCCTTGCTGGGAAACTTGCATAAAAGGTCAATGTGCCTCCATTAAGATTCTGTTCCTGCTTACCCTAATAATAGAGTCTCATCTCATGTGTGGGGGAAACGGCTGTATCTATCCTGGGGATTGCTACATCACTATACTCAGGAATTATAATCGATAGCTTTTATAAGAGCTGTTCCTGCTACGCTCTCTGGGAGTAGAAGAGGTCTGCCCACTGGAAGCTGGATTCCAGTCTAGGGTGGGTGAAGGACGGTGAGCACCTGCAGTGCTTATGGTGTCTGGTGGAGTGTTGGAATTCCTCAGTGAGCACTAGGAGCATCGACTGGTGGAGGCACTTGGTTGGAGTGCCAGGGGGTCCGTCACACTGTATGTGTGCTGGTACAGAGATGCTATATCCTCTATATTGTGTCATTACTTGTAAAAAACAAACAAAAATAAAGATTGTCAAAAAAAGAATTCTATATTGGATACTGAAAAAGTTTGGACAGTGTCCAAAATAGTCACATAAAATATCCTGCTTATGAACAGCATATTATAAATAAATGGATCATATTTTTTAATGAAGCTTGCTAAAATACCAATATGTAAGAATTAGCTATTATATCAAATATAAGTTGTATTATCTAATTAAAAAGACAGATTTACCATTTATTGCAGGAATTCATCACAGAACTGCCATCTTTATATTCTTCACCTCCAAAATGACATGGACATTCAGATGGTGGTATACATTCTCCCTTAGAGTTTCTAACCATAGATACAGGACAGTAGCACCCAGGTTTGCAGTCTTCTTTTTTCTATATAATGAAAAAATAGCATTTTTTATCAGAAAACTATGATATATACAAAATGTTGCCTCCCTCTCATATTTTGCAAACTCCTGAAGGCCCACCTCTTTACTAAAGCTTTACTTGAAATTCTTCAACACAGTCCTTGGGTTGACTCCTTTCTGAGGTTAATTGATTTCTTCCCAATATCCCCTGTCCCTAATGTATGCAACAATGACCTTGATCACTATCCAACCCCCATCTGTAACTCCATCGAAATTTAAACAGTAATACAGGCCGTTCATAATTCTGAATAATTGATGATGATCCAAACAAAGTGGAAAACCCCAATTTGAAATTATTTCCAAATAAAGATTAAAACAAAATTATTTACAGAATCTGACAAAACAACCTCTTTATAGCAAGAAAATTAAATATATGCATTTCTCTGACTAAGGAAACTGTCCCCTTGTATACATTTATATAATGTTATATCTCCTGGTTAAATGTTTATTTGTTTATTTGCTTGTTTGTGTTTTATAGGTAATTGCTTATGTTTTTAGTTAGACTTTTAGTGGCTAGCTTTAATATACCCTTATTAGTGCACACAGAGAATTTATACCCCTGCACTATAAATGTAAGGCCAAATTGCCTGCATTAAAATAATGGGTTTTGGGGAACAGTGAATCACAGTTTATTATTTGACAGAGAAAGAAAGAGCACACAAACAAAGAAAATATAAAAATTTCTTCAGAAATATGACCCGATGTTGAAGAAAAAAACAAAGCAAACTTGTTGTATTATACCTTCTATCTATTTAAAAACATTATTTGTCTTATTTTTAAATCACAAATATAAATTAACAGAACATACACGTAATCTTGATAGATGTCTTGTATTGCATTCTAAATCAACTCGTCTTTGAGCGTCTGGGTATCTGCAGTCTACAAACTCTGCACCACCTGTGCATATTTCTGGAAAAAAAAGCATTGCATGATTTTCAATCAATAGAACGGAACCTTGGAATAAGTGCCCCAAACTTGCCCTGCATAGTGCTAGACACAGAGCTCTCTGTATAAGGTGCTACACTATAAATCCTTCTAGCACAAGACTTGATAGTAGGATTATCATAACCTCAATTGGTACAACTAAAAACAGCGATTTTTTTTATACAGACACACACACTAAAAACAAAAATACAGAAATAGATATATTTCTGGAAAAAAGAAATATATATATATATATATATATATGTGTGTATATATATATATATATATATATATATATATATATGTGTATATATATATATATATATATATATTCTCCCCCCCCCAAAAAAAAACTCTTGTTAGTAAAGAAGTTCTTTGCATTACATTGTATTATATAGTTTATGTTTGTATGTGTTTGAGTGTGAATTTTTAAATACCTTTTCTGCATAAATATGTGTCTACCTTACATCTTCTGAAATCAAATACTAAATACTTTATAAGGTTTATCTGCTGAAAGGTAAATTGTCGCAATTGAAAACTAAATTTCAAAATTCAGAGTA